ATGGGTGTTAGCACCTGGGTTTCTTCGTTGTTTTCACAGCTGTGTTCCACGTAGCAGATGTAACCGAAAAGCAGCGTCGCATGATCATTACGGCCAAGCGATTCACCTATGCTTACGGTATCTATCATTAGTAAGCACCAGGTCTTAGACAGATGGTTCACCACCCGTTGTGAGTCGCACAGGAGTGATAAAATTGTTGTGAAGCGGTTAATTACTGTTTGCTTCTTGCAGGTCAGCCTTGAGTTCGCTGTGAGGGACAGGGATTTCTAGTGCGGGCAGGTGTTGGCCGGTGGCCGAGTGGTCTGCACGTTTGCTTTGCAACCATAAGGTCACCGGTTCGAATCCGCGTGGGGGTGGGCGTCCTCGCGGTATACTCAGCCCGCGCGCGACTGGTGGTGGTCGCGCGGCAGCGAAGCGCCGTTACGGCGTACAGCTGACACGTTATTATTATTATTAGTGCGGGCAGGTTAAAGTGCCCCACCTAAAGGACGTAACTGTATGACAACGAGGGTGCGCTTCGCAAAAGACACTAGCCGGTAATCCATTTCCAAGAGGAAGATTGGCAAGCGATAACCTATTACTAAGAAACGCACATCACCATCTCTCATGCGCAGACGGCACCTGCGAGAATCGACAACTTGCGTATCTGGGTCATCGGTAACACCAATATGCAAGTCAGCTCGGTAATACAAGAGCACTCCGCCTCCTTTTCTGGGTCGATCGTTTCGTATGGAAATCATGTCAGGGAGAGAAATCTTGGCATCCAGCGGTGTTTCGGTTACAATCACTATGTCTCAAGGCACTGAAACCTCGATTATCCGTATTTCCAATAGTAGCATTTTTGGCATTTTATGTCACATTTTGATCGCCCTTTCTGCCATGGGTTTCGATTGCAACGTTATTTTCATCATCTGGGAACCAATTTCTTTTTAGTTGGATGATAACGGTCATTTTGATATCCAATTAGGGTTAACCTTTTCGAGCATGAGCACTTCACGGATGAAGCACCATTCATCCCATTCGTGTGCTTTGGCCTGTAGCTCACTTGTAGTCTGTAGCTCGGGAACACCATGGACAAGGATCGGTTTCATATCTTCCTGTTTATGAAAATCATCCGGGTTTTGTTTGCGTTTCAAGCGGTCGCTTCGAGGAACATCTGTAAAATTACGAACAGTGCATGGGGTCGTACGTGAACGAGTGGCCGACAAGAGAACGGCCTCTGCCTTGTCTGACTGAAGCCCTATTTGGAGTAATCGTGGTCCACCATAAAGGACCGCGTTTGGTTAACGGACAAGACACATCACACTGGCCGGCCTAGCTTGGATATTGTCCTGCCTTGGACATTTGATGTAATTTTAAGGTTTGGCTTATGCACACAGGTTGTCAAAATTAATGTTCTTAGTTCATGCATTACGAAAGCTATAACAGTCTTCTTGAACGTTTGACATCTGTGGCGTCAGAAGGGAGTTTCCTTCGGTCTAAAAGGGCGTACTTGCATGGCCACAGTGAGGACCTTCCTACGGTATGGGAGTGGGACTTGGCCCCTTTTGTCGGAGGATCTGAGGCACCTTCAAGTTTTCGATCATTGAAATCTGTGAACCATTGACGGTGTATTATGTATGTATGTATGTATTTCCTTCATGTATTGCGGCACAATAGCGGAGGTGTTTTTCCCACCTCTAGCTGATGTGTATAATGATGATGATGATGATGGCACCAGCGTGTCCAGCAAGATGATGTCCGTGGGCGAGTAATAGGATGTGATGATCAGGCTAGTTCTCTAAAATAACTGGTAGCACTGAATAAGTTGCATTTACTTGGGCACGTACTACGTATACCCGATCACTGCTTACCGAGGATGGCTTTATTTTTCTTTGCTAGGCGTAGGTGGGGAAAAGCTCGAGATGGGCAAAGTTGACTTGGTAACGGGAAATGAAGTCGCTGACTACTGAACTGGGAGCTGCTAGTCCGTCTCGCCTTCCAAGAGAGGGTTCACTTAACTCACCTCGTATTTGTCTCGAAACGTTTCAGGACATGGCTCGCAGTCGACATCAGTGACGCATCTGCTGCCGTCTCCTAGTCAGACTGCCTGTTTAAGGTGCATCTGATGCTGAGTTGTTTCCGGGGTAATGGTTCATTACGGCGTGTGACATTGAATGCTGCAAGGAAGCTGTCTGGCTGATGCCGCCTTAAGTCTGTACTGTAGCCAGATGTTTGTGACGGTATGTTAATGAGGCGTAAGCGTCTTGAACTTAATTGTTTACTTAGTGCATTAGTGTTTTACTCTAGGTACCCCTTCTCTCTATCTTTGTTTTGTAGTTCCTTGTGGTTTGCTTTTGCTGCGTCAGTTAAGATGGCTCGGTCATGTCCTGCGTATGTCAGCTAAGCATTTGCCCCATTGTGCACTTTTCGCTCGTGTAGGACTTGGCTGTAACAGGTCACGCGGTGGTCAGCCGTCCACCTGACCATACCATATGAAATCGTTGACTTCATGTCTTGCTGCCGTTGGATTCGCACGTCTACCTGGTTGAGGGCCAAATAATGAGGAGGACCGATGGCTGGGAACATAATAGGATATGGTGCGCCATGGGAACCAATAGAAGTTCTGAGTACACACTTGTTTAGACTCAGAAGCTTAATGCTTAGCAGTTAAAAGACAAAAAATGAAACAATGGTGTGTATGGAATCTAAAAAGTTCTGTTTTTTTGTTCTTGTGGTACAATAACTAAAGTGTGTCGCTCATCTTCTTCAGCTAATGTGCCGTGATTGTGATGCGGTGATTAAACCTGTCTTCTTCCAGTGATTTTCATGGATTTGTTTGACTCTATACCTATTCCTCATACTATTACTATTAATACTACTATTTATTGTAATTGTACGGGAGCGAAGCTTCATTTCAAATGGTTGATCTATTGTTGTTGTTGTTGTTGGTTGTTGTTGTTCGACACCACAACTTCTGGCCCACGTGTGCATTGATAATAATGATGAATTCACTCTGCTACCCCTTGGGGGTATCTTTTAACCTGTGTCCTTTATGTTGTCTGCCATGTCCTCCAAATACCCGTTAACTGTTATTCTCGTCGTGCATTACACTCCGTCACTGCGCCAAGTTGGACAAAGCTGCGAGGTGGCCATTTGGTGCCGTAGTTTACAACGTGTCCTCTTTTTGTGTGGAGTCCATGAGATAGTTCGTGAGCCCATCGGCATGACACAGTTGTTCAGTCAGTGGCGCTGCTGCATTCACTTTTTTGGATGTAATTGTTAACATTCCAACCTGATGAACTTTGCGCACTTCTTTTTAATACCGCTTTTATTTTCTTTCTGCGCTCTTTAGTTTTATCACTCTTGTTGCTTATTGTTATCCTGTCTGCGCGTGTCCGGCTTTTGGATCCACCGCATTTCGATGCCCGGATCATACTGGTTCACTGCACTGACTTGCCGTACTTCCCCCATTTCATAAAGACTGGTCTTTCAAAGGACTAACTTAGAATCGAAAATCGAATCGAAATCATTACGCAGTATCGACGCTTCACTGCCGTGCAACCACCACCAGTCGCATATGAGTTGAGGACACTGTGATGGTCGTCCCGTCCCTACGCAGGCTCGAACTTGCGCCCTCAAATTGCAAAGCAGGCTTGTGAATCTAAAGACTACGAGTCGGCAACTTAGAATCTACAGGCTCTCTGCAAGCACCTTTGAACATGCTGATGAAGAAGTACGCAGTTTATGTATTTTGCACTATCACAGTACAACGTGTTACCGGGTCCCTGTCTTATGCAGGTTTTTTCTCATGGTCGATTTCTCGGTACCGGGACTGTCCATTTGTCCATCTATGTGGATGGATGTTTTGTTCCTGCTGACCTGATCATCAATTGCGCCCCCGATTTGGAGTCCAATCTTTTGTCCGAGTTTGGTTGTCTGGAAGTTTCTCAGCTTGGGTACAACTGCACCGTGTTATCAATATAGACCCCAGATGCACTACTGATATCTTTAGTATACCAGCATTTTAACATTGGCACTTCCTTTCACTATTAGATTATAGAATATTCGTCTGTTACTATACCTGGCTTCTTCCTCGATATCTTCAAATAATTCATGAGCTGTCTGTTATCTGCCTTGCAAATGCCTTAACCACGCTTAGGCCGATGGGGAATACCTCCCTCGATTGTCCTGGGACAAATAAAATTTTGTACCAAGTATGAGACTCTGCCCACTTTCCCACATACCTAGGATTGTTTCTTGAGTCTCCTATTTTCCCGTGTTAACCTGCTGTCTTTCCCACCTTTTCAAGCCTCGTTACTTCGAACATGCAACGTTACTTCAAACCCGAGACTTATATCGGAAGATTGCTTATGAAATATTTGAACACCTACGTTGTGCTACGCGATGATCAAGTTGCGATGTCTCTTTGGGACGGTGACGTTACTCTCAATCAAGTCGAATTACGTTGCGAAGCTTTTGATCACATCATCCCACTACCTGTTGCTGTCCGTTCAGGTCGTGTGCACGAGTTACGAGTGCATGTCCCATGGACCAAACTAAATTCTGATAGTATCATCATCTCTCTGCACACGGTTGAATGTATCATCTCTCTACAAAAGTCCACCTCTACTTTGAATGTACAGAACACTTTTGGACCCACGCATCCATTCCAAGTTTCTGAACCAGATTGTACCGAAGAGATTTCTATCTCGTCTGGTTATCTTCAGTCCTATCTTAACCGTCTTTTATCTAATATTCGCTTTGTTGTCTACAATCTGAACTTAAAGTTCATACAGGATAACATCGTGCTGTCTCTTAGTGCTAGCGCCGTTGACTTTTATCCTGCGGGTGCCGACTGGAAACCCACTTTTCACTCTTACGATCAAAAGAACAGCTTCTTTATCCACCGGAAACTCCAACTATCTGATGTAACCGTATGCCTTGATCGTTCTGGGCCCACTGGGTACGTGGAAGTATACGAAGAGCCTCTGGTCCATCGTTTCGGTCTGTGTTGTCTGATGGAATTTGTTTACCCGCCAGAATCCACACTGCCCTTTTTTGCAGCTATTTCTACCTTAGAGATTCATAGTCAAAACTTGGAGCTTCGTCTTAGCCCACATCAGATACACTCACTCCTCCGGTTACTCGAAGTGTTCTCTGCCGTCCATTCAGAAACTGTTGATTGGTCCAAGTTTGTCTCCGCTAACTTCCCGAGCTCAAATCTGGACTGTGTGCCGAGTGGCGATGTTCTTCCACCGGTAGAATGTTTAGATCTAAAGGAGACACATCACGGTAACCAGCAACAATCTTGGGCGTCTTGGGTCTGGTCTCTCGTTCCCAGCATTTTGCCTCCAAACTTGGATCTCAGCGATTCGGACTGCGAAGATGGGTCTAACGAACCACCGGCAAATGCGATTGTTGCATGGATAGAGTTTTTCGATCTTGTTTGCGAGGAGGCGCGACATCAGCATGCCGATCCTACCAACCAATTTGTATCCGGTTTACAGCCATCCATCGATTATTCGGACTCAAATGTACCTCCTTACAATTCATCTGATGTGCGCCCATCTTCAGTTTCGACAGCTCATGTGAACCTGAGATGCATGCGCCGTAATCGACGACGAATTCGGCAACTAACCAGTCTATGTGAAATTCCCCCTTTAATAAGACTGTGTGTACGCTGCGATCGATTAACTATTCAGCTCACAGTGAGTTTGCCTCTACCCACGTTTTTAACGAATCTTTTTCTCCAATCCTTTAGGCATTTTGTTTGTCTATGCAATGTCTCAGCGGATAGCTGACATTTTCAGATTTATTTCCCACCAGAATGCGTCCTGAACTACCATCTTTTTGTGGACTTGCTATAGAACATTCGACGCGGTGTGCCTGTTAGTTTCCACCATTTCCTGCCGACGAAATTGTCTCTCCCTACTGTGGATTTGCGTCTATGTGTCCAGGACATAGGTGTTTTGGAAAAGTAAACAAGACGAAACACGAAACTCAGATCATTGCCATGCACAATATCAACACCGATGCTCTACAATTAAATAGACATGTTCCTATGGGGATGATTTCTCCATCCATATACTCCCTATGGCATCAAAGCCTATTCTCCTAGGCAAGTGCCTATATACTCCTTTGCTCAGAATTCGACTCAATAACCGTCACTCTGATGTCCACATGTGTCCAAGTTTCCCGGCTTCGTTTGGCATTTTCTTCCCAGTATTTGACCCCAGGCTACTTTATGACTTAATACCTAACGGTGCGAATGTCGACTTAGTAGTGGTTTGCAAAGCGTTTCAATCTGTAAATTTTCGGTGTTTTTCGTTCGCAACACTCCACTCCACGGCCGGTTTCAAACTTAGGTGAACTCGTCACGTGGAGAAATTAGCTCAGGCACTTGTTCCCTAGCCACTGGAATTTCAGCCGCAGTCTTCACCGAGTCACAGGCCTTGCTTATGGCTACGACTCAAGGCGAATCGCGATTCAGATTGAGATTACGTGTCACAGTCCGTTCATCCAATGAGTGCCTCAAAACGATCCCTCTAAAGACTTAATAGCTGCGAGACGTTAGCTTACAGGTAGAGGTTTCGGCTAAAATCCCATAATTCCCGGGTTCGAGTCACAATTCCTCTATCTGTACCATATGAGTGCGAACGAGTACAAAACTGGTCGTTGCTTGAAGTATTGCAGAAGTGCAACACTTAGACTTTTTGCTTCAGATGAAATCTCAGTGACCGAGTTTACTGAGGTTTGTTACAAGGGGAATCGAGATCCACATTGAGATTGCGCTTCGTAATCCGATGCTTACAACTAACCCTTCCAGTGTCCAAGGTTTTAACTTTCTTGCCGCCGTCCTACCCACCGACGAAGTGTCACTCTGTACGCGGGATGGTTTTGTGATCCGTCTCGTAGGTAGTGGAATACGTTACTCGATTCAGTCGCGCTTTGCACACAGTTCTCTGATTTTTGATCGGGGTCAGTTTTAATGAACTCAATCCGAATCTCCACACAATACCTGTTAACCCTAACTAACCGGAACCGCTTGCTGTTCCGTGCTCATACTGTCGCCTTTACTTTGGGACTTGGTTGCACGTGGGCCACCCCCTCCTTTGCATGGTAGTAGCTTGGAAAATGTTGTTAAGTCAAAGTTAAAGGCCTGAATTTTCTGCGCTGGTGAAACTTGTCTTCCGCCATCGAAGTCAAAAATTCTGTGAAATTTCCGCGCGGCGCAAACCGCGAAAACGACGATAAACATAAATCCAGACCCCTTCCTCCGCTGTATGCATGTCGATCATGATTTAAAATAGAGGAATTAAAATAAAACCAAACAAGGTGTTTCGTGCTATTGTCTGATAGGTTGTGATGCTTGTCAGACACATTTTTAGACACTACAACTTTCCTCAACGTCTACTGAATTCACAGGAATGCACAGATAACGACCAGTGATGTCTGCCAGTTGTGAAGTTCTTTCACGCATCCCGCATCAGAAGTCCAGCGTGTCTTCACATTTTTCTGCTTGAAGTTCTTCCACCACTTTTCGATAGATTAACGACTCGGCTGCCATATCGGCATAGTTGCATGGATCACTAAGCAAAGGGATGGGTTGGTTGGGGTCAAGCGCTCTAGTGGCTTTCAAAATGACCAGTTAGCCTGTGATGTCAGCAACTCCTGGGATTTTATAGTAGCTTGGGGTAAGTGAAGTTGCATGTCAGTTTGGATTTTGCTGGACACATCAAAGCTGAGTCCCTCTGCCTGCAAATGTTGTGGCCCGTTTTCTATCCGGTTTTGTTTTATCCACTTTTTTCCGATCTGTTTGCGTCGTATCTCATTTCTATCTATTGTTAATTACTGTTAACCTGGCGACGAGTCATGATTCATAGATCCGACACACTTCGTTTAATAGAACTGATTAATTTAATTTACAAGGAATTATTAGGTGGAGTTGAACGGTATAAGTAGTTCATCGCATCTGGACTCAGTCAGACAGCCATCAGAGGCCTGGAAAAGCACTGTACAACCGTTTCATCCTTTCGGGAGTTGTTTGCAGTGCGCATTCCATCTGACAACTGTGTGGATAAAGCCCGCAACTCGACTGTGCCCAGTCTGTGTTGAAGACCGCTGGATTCTGAGGGTTGGTAACGACCAAGTTACTACATATGCTAGAGCGCCGCTCATTATCCATTGACTTGCACGTTACCACCGTACAGCAAACAGGATAGCCCCTCCGTCACCAAGAGGCGAACTTACCAAAGTTTATCTGCCGACAAACTTATGGCATTATACCCAGTTTGGTCTGAATTCTGATTACCATTTGGTAAGCTCGTTCCTTGATGATGGGCTACCCTGCCTTCTGCATGACAGCAACGTGCAAGTCAGTGGATACTGAGCGGCGTTCTATCACATCTAGTAACCTAGTCATTACCCTCCTCCGTAGCTCTTTGGTCTTCACCACATACTGGTAGCAGTCAGGTTACGGGTTCCATCCATATAGAGGGGTTATAACGCTCTACCCGCAATCGACCGGTTGATTCACGGCTACTGGTAAATCTGCGCCCTCACGCCTGCTCTGTTTGACGCCTTAGCAAAACCCGCCAGAAAGGAACACAGAAAAAGACAGCCGACCAGAGTTATATTAGGACCGAGAACGCTCATATATATCGGTCTCACCAATCCTCTAAACATTGCCTGGCGGATTTGGCGGTAAGCCCACGCTCCACACGTGCTTGTCCGCTCCGTCTGGCCAGATCACCGTTTTGCTCGAGCACGCCACTCTTCATCCGCCTACCCGGGGCATGGCAACGCACGTGATGTCTGAGGTGCGATTTCATCAGCTTTCGGCTGGGCCCTAGCAACACGCTTGCAGGGTCTTTCCCAAACACGATTTGTGGCAAACACGCGCGCTGGCAATGAGCTTTCTCGCCCAGCTGTCAAGGGGTCAGATGGAATGCGCACTGCTGGCGATTCCTGAGAGCATGAAACAGCGTGTAATGGCTGTTTGATTGGGTCTAGATGTGAGGAACTTATAATTTATTTTAAATCGCCTGATCTTCCTGCGATTCGTTCAGCTCTTTTCTCATTTTCATGGTAACTCGTCATGTCATCTAGATCTACAGCATCTTTTGACTCGTACTATAGCTAAGTGGGCATTTTCTCACTTTGTTAGTCAGCTATGATTTTGGCACGAAGTCTGGTGGAATGCTGTGTTATGAGCTATGTCGTCACACTTGTGAAGATAGTTGACTACGGGAGAAAATAAAAATGTACATAACACAAGCCATCTTGCAAAATGCGAGCGGCAAATTAAACAAACTGCGATTGCTAGGTAGGATGATCACAGTTTGAACCACTCAATAGAATGCAAGTTTATTCACTGGAACGTATTGTACTTTGACCTGTGGGCGTCCACTGTTTCTTTTCAAATCTGATGTTGAGTACACTTCCGCACCGTATCTGTGGCATGCTCTCATCCTCTCTCATCTCAGCTCCCTGATTACGATCTGCAACCTCACTTGATCGGCCATGGTTCCAAGCGTCCTCCAGTTCGTTTACAACCCACCATGGAGTTCGTTGCTCAGGTGAGTCATGAGACAATTCTATCTAAACGTTGCTTTTATCTATTGCCTTCCAATTCTTATTATGTACAATCAGCATTAAGTGAATGGTAGCTTTGTGTGGACTCATCCGCAGTCTAATGGATAAACATAGAGGCATCCAAAACCTTCGAAATCAACGTACGATTATAAGTACAATTGTCACCAAGAAAGGAGACATTTCCTACTGATATCTCGCTTATTCCTCCCAGTGGCTCACCATCCAGATAGTCTTCTCACCACTCCGGAAAAGCACCAGACGTTCGTTTTGCCCTATTGAAGCTCGTCACCGCCGCGGGTTCTCTCGATCCCCTGCTGGGGGTCGAACCCATGACCGCTAGTGACTTGCGCCTCTTAACCAGCACCTACTACCACTGAGCCATGTGGGACGGTGACAGACCGTCATAGTTTGAATACTAACTGGGATATAGCCCGACCTATCTTCCGCTGTCATAATGATTACTGCCATTGCAGAGGACAGTGGTTGGCCTCCAGTAATCACCACTTTCACTGCACAACAGTTATGTGCACATAGCATTTGAAGATTATGAAGACGCACTTTTGATTACTAACTTTTTATTGTTTTGTTATTCCTACGCCTTTTTCCATCCTTTTTCGAATAATAATAATATGATAATAATAATAACAATAGTACTAATACTATTAGTGTTTATTCTCGGGTTTACGAGACATGCCTTTTCGACATGCTCGAATTCTTACGATTGTCTCGTACTATATTTACGGCAAATTCCAAATGTCAGACCGAAATAAAAATCATGTTTTTAACATCCATGATTGTCCAGTTCAAAGCCTTGGATGGGCACAGAATTTTTCATGGTATCCTGATAGAGAGCTCTGTGTACGCACGGAATCAAGTTTTTTCCTTGGATAAAGGATAAACTGCAGTTGTATGGTCATGCGTAAATAGTAAGTAATCGCCAACTGTACGCCGTAACGGCGCTTCACTGCCACGCGATCACCACCAGTCGCGCGTGGGCTGAGTATACCGCGAGGACGCCCGCTCCTATGCGGATTCGAACCGGTGACCTTATGGTTGCAAACCAGACGCGCATACCACTCGGCCACCGGCCGACGTATGTTGATAAAGAGAAACATTAAAGCTATAATCATACTTATAGATCATAGCATCTAATTTAGGCAGAAAACATTTCTACACATTGTGGTGTTCTACAAAGGAGTAGTGAAAGACAGAGGTCTATCTTTATTTTCAGTTCAGCAGCTGTGCTTGTGGACCGAGACAGAGAGAAGGGGAGAGTTATTTGTTGCGTATGAGGCGGACTTGGTTGGTATTGGTCAACTGGCTCAGGCATTTTGTCTTAACTGGACGCTATGGATATGCGAGTAACATGAAAAATGATGAAAAAAGATATTGGAACTTGGGATGAAGATGTAATAAGCAGAATCGGTTAGCTTCACCTTACTGCCTGACATGTTTACATGAAGCAACTAGCGAAGCTTATACGAGTAGGAGAAGACCGATTGGGAACGGTGAATAAAGTTGGATAGAATCACTCAGCGTTTCATTCCTAGCTCACACTTTTTGGTATGGCTGTAAGCCAGGCGTAGCTGAGTAAGCCGAATATGAAGGGTGGAGACAAAATGGTTTCACAATTTCAGTTTGCAATTCATCTGCTACCCACACTTATTGTACTTTCTGTGAGGTATCCTTTCCTGTGTAACGAAGGAAAGAGGGTCGGGTGAGGAAGAGTGAAAAGATTCAAGGTTGGATTTGGAGTACCTGCCGTGTGGTTGGATTGCGACACCCAATCTCTATTGAGACCTCAGTTCATTTTGAACTATACTTCGGTCATTCCAATCACAATGACCGTAATCGAAATGGAGATGTTTCGGTGTTGAATCTCACAACGCTGACACCCCATGACCGCTTTCGTCCTGGTTTGGACTCATCACATGGAGATAGCCTGAGCTGGGGTGAAACTCTGGGCCTAGTGTTTAACGGCTGACGCCATAAACACTATGCCGCTGAAATCCGCGAACAACACTTGACACAGCGGTAAAGAATTCTAAGTGGCATTTGGTGTACCCGCCGTGTGCTTAGATTGCGACCCGCAATCTCTATTCAGACGTCGGTCCTCTTTGAAGTAGACCTCGGTCATTACGATCACAAGGACCGTATCCGAATTAGTGGTTCGGTGTTGCTCCTCCCAACCCTGACACCCCATATCTGGTCTCGTCCTCCTTTGGACTCATCAGATGGAGATAGCCCCTGAACTGGGGTGGACCTCAAAGCCTAGTGTTCAAAGGTTGACACCTTGATTACTATGGCTCTAAGATCCGCGAGCAACACTTGACACAGCGGTGAAGAATTCCAAGTGGCATTTGGTGTACCCGCCGTATGCTTAGATTGCGACAGTGTGAAGGATGTTCTGTCAAGATTTCATCTATTTTTTCAAATGTTCATCTTTAGGAGGGCTTTACCAAGTTAATCCACTGTACGTAGCATATTATAGATATTTGTAATCAGCGCGCCCAAGTCTCAGCCTTCTCCTCAAATAGCATTTCTTCACTGCAATTTACTTGCAATACCGCTTTTACCTATTGCACTGTCATATAGTTAGAAACTGCTCTTTTGTACGCTGCGATTCGCAAGCTCTTATTTTTAAAGGGAGACTGTTCCAAATTTGACCGTATCAGTTTAGGTCGCATTTTCTTCGAACATTAGTTTTCGTTTCGAACACGGGCATTGTGTTCTTGGTATCGCTAACTGCGTATCTACATTCTTATTTGATGTGAATTGTGATATTTTGTGCGAACATATGCTTATGTACCAAGTCAAATAGGAATGTTACTCCTTGTTTCATGTATCTTAACCACAGTGGCTCCAATTGTATCATCTTACAACTCTTGGAGTAGTTACAACTTTGGACGATGGTTTAAAGAGGGCTTTTGTGAATGGTCGCTGCACGTTTTCTAAGCACACACACACACACACGGTGGTCTTTTCTGCCGCTTGTAAAAATAATTGAACAGTACTCTAGCAGCTTTTAAACAAGTGCAGTTTAGGTTCACGCATTGAGGATGACTTTAAAATGAATTCTCCACTTCTTTGTGATCTGGCCTTTATGAATTCAACTTAATCAGCAAAATTCATTGCTATAGTACTGGATGCCTAGATCACGTATGGTATTACTACAGAGAATGCGTTCACCACAAAGGTAAAATGCATTTGGCGGAAGTTCGCACTTTTATGTCAGCACACTGTCTTAGTCCGCTGAGAAGGACATTTGCCACTCGCTATATCACGATTTCAAGGCCACCAGATTTATGCAAACGTTTCCTAGGGTATCGCTGAAACACCGGATATATCAAAGGTGCATATTGTTTTTACGTTATCCGCAAGGATATATGGTGTCCCAAATTTAATTCTTTGTTATATCATTACATTACACATTAGGAAGAGCAAAGGACCTAACGCACTACCTTGAATCACACCACTGGTGATCATCAATGGTGAGGATCTAAATTCACCGTATTTGTACCTGCTGCGTGCTTTCTGGGAGGTATGATCTCAGCCATGCGTGCTATGGATCAGTGATCCCGAAATCTTTTTAACTCCCAAAAGTTGTCGTGCGACACTCTGTCAAAGGCTTACATATCAATAAAGAGAATGTTGACCACTGCGTATATCAATGGAGCTTGTCAGATTGTTTAGAGAGGCTAGCTTACATGTCTGATATAAGCATCTTTGCGGAAACTCATGTTAAGCTGGGTTTATCAAATTCATTGACAGCAAGTGCATAACCATTTTCTCTTTCACAATTCTTTCCATTATTCCCGAAATAACAGGCTTGTGGCTAATTGGGCGGTACTTGTCAATGTCTAGTTTTTAGCCATTCTTGTGTCTAGACTCTGTAATAAAATCTTTCCATTGATTCGAGAATATCCTTTAATTTATAGCTAGGGGAAACATGTTTAGAAGTAGAATCGATATATCCCACTGCCAAACTTTATTAGAGCGGTCGGCAGCCCATCAGGTCCAGGATGAGACTGAGACTGAGACTATATTTAAGAGCAGGTAGAAAGCTTACTGTACAACTCTATAGAATTAGGAAAAATCAAACATTTAATTGCGAATCGTCAGCAATAGTGTTTGATCAGTTAATCGTTTATCCTTGTTCGGCTAGGAATTCGTATCAATGTCATTATTTCCGTCTATACGATCTATTTTTTGTATGGTGTGCTCACCGTTTCACAAAACACTGGTTTCCGAAATAATCGTCAGTACGAGTTTTGAAATACTTCACAGAATCGGCCTCTATTAGTCCTTCTGGTAGTGTATTCCATAAGTTTACGATTTTTCGTTCTATACAAAGCTGATGTGATACCTTGTTCATACAGGGGACCCTGAGTTTCTCACAGTGTCCTCAGGTGTTACATGGTTCCCGCAGGTGAAATATTGGCCGCAGTATGGGGAAGTGATCCAAGTATACTGCTCGATGCGTCATAATAAGGTCAATTCTTACTCGGCGTTAGGCTAGTGTCTAGAATCCGAGCCTCTCACGACCTTTTTCATACGGAAGCTTTCGTAGACTGGGTATCATTCTAGCTGCGATATGCCGTATTTTCTCTAGCTTTTCAGTTTCCCACTGGGTTATCGGATGGTAAGCTGCGGTGTCGTATTCAAAGATTGCTCTAATGAGCGAGGTGAATAGGCGAGGGACGGTTTCTGTGACCTATGTAAAGAGACTGCGTCTTAATGACGGTACAATTTCTCTGTATTTTTTATTGATCGCGACGGCACTCATAAGTCTCTGACAGATGTGTTAGGGTGGAGCAACTGACCGTCCAAGGTGTATAATCGAATGGTTGGATGTCTGGCGATACTAATGAACTCCGACTTGCTGGCGTTAAGAGGGAGTTGCATTTCAGCGGACCACGTTGACAGTCGCTCTAAGTCATACTGGAGGCGAGCGCAGTCGTCCTGGTTCTCAATGACACTCCAG